TCTTCAATAATTAATTTTCTAAAAATTACATGTAAAATATAATTATAATTTATAAAACAGTTCATTCTTTCACCATATCCTTTATATAAAAAAAATAAGCCTCTTATTCATAACCCCTATTTTAAGGCTGCTCATTTTCTCAGAAAAAGAAGATAATTAGGGATTTGAAAGGTTCTGACTTTATATTTTGGATCTGACAGATTCTATGTTGAAGCCTCTAACAATTTTTAAGTGTTTCAATGGTTAACTTTTTTAATTAGCCACATGATGGATTATTTGTATATTTTATAGTAGTCACAGGGATGGACTTGAAGATATTCTTGTTTAACTTTTCTTCTGCTAAGTTGTTTAGTTTGGCTGTCTATTCTTTTGTCTCAAGTATTATATACTCAAGCTTCAGTAGCATTGTATTATAAATTATGTAAAATAAACTGGACAGCTTTAGAGAGAACCATGGAGAATTATTTCTTCAAATTGTTATGGTTTTTTAATAGCCTTGAACTTGCGTAAAAAAATTAAATTGTATGACAGAAATGTTTAATTCATCTTAGACTTCCTTAGGCTGCTCCAATTTCTAAATCAATAAATACTGTCTTTATTAAAAGTTCCAACTTTATTTGCCTCGTCTGCTTTATTCCATCTTTCTTTTCTTCTTATTCCTAGCAATGTATTTAGCACCATAGTTACATAAATGAAAAGTTTAGAATAAAAATTTCCAAGTAAAATGCCCATTTTGCGTATTTTATGTTAGAAAATTCAATATTTACAAGTGGTTATGGCCTCAATATGCAAACATTACACACTATTAATAATAGGTACCTTAAATGAGCAAACATTTTAAATTACTGATAAAAACAAATAAGCATTTAGAACTATTTCTATTTAAGTAAGCTCTCAAAAAAAGCAGGACCTCACTATTGGAATTTTTACTAATATATTGCCTTTAACAGTTTGAAGGCAAAGTTCTAAATGTAGCCAAAGATCTACATTGGAAAATATGTGAATGCATTATGAAGACTAAAAGGTAGAGAGGAAATAAAGGCTTTTTTTCTAGACAGTACTTTTATCTGTTCTTCTAGTATTGTTTCTATTATAAAATCTTTCTTGTGGAATGTTTCTATGTACTTCAGCCAGATTTTTCACTATAATTTGCAAGAAGGTGTCTTATAATGAAACCTATAATTTGTGGTTGTGGTTGTCAAAGTCATACATTTTTCTATTACTTACAAGACCTTTAAACATTAATCATGCATTTTATTTTCCCATTCAAAAATCACTTCTGCTTTTAATATCCAAACATGATAGGTCAGTGGCTCTTCTACTTAACAACTGTGGATTTAAAGTATTAGTTCATGTTTTTGCTTATAAAATCTTAAATATATCATTTTGCCTTTATGGAGGTGGACTATGAAGTTGCCTGATAAACAAATTAAGAAGTTGATTTCACCTTTATGTGTAAAAACATATGGAGAAAAGGTTTTATTAACTATTCAAAGATTACTATTACTTTGCTCTCTATTGCAGACTCTTGCATATAGAGGTCACTGTTACATTAATGAAGACCACCTTTTCAAGCAATGTTTATTTATTTTTTAATGACAAGACCAATAGTTCCAATGTATTATATGACTGCTATTTATTATCATTTTTTTGCTTTCTCTCAGTAAATATTTTTTCAGAATGCCCTAATGAAGACCTTTTCATAGTTTTTGATTTGATAAAGATGTGAATGTGAATACATGGAAATATTTATGGAAAACATAAAAATATTAGCTGGTATATTTCCTTTAAGTTTCTAGATGGCACCACTCTTAATTTTTAAACACATATGATAATATTTCATGAAAAAAATCAGTCAACATGACTCACTAGCATTAAATATTAAAAATGGTGGGAAGATCAATAATTTCTTTAGGTATTGTGGAAAGGCACACATTTTGTCACATTTATACTAGAATGTTCAGACCATTATATTTAGTCTGACTGATACACAAGGATTCTGGCAACACATAAAGTTGTCCCAGTTAGTTGTCATGTTGATCCTTCCTAGAAAAATAATGTCCTTTAAAATACTGTGAGTATTGAATTACATTGTTCTTTAAATTTTTATCTAGCTGTCTTGGAAACAGAGAGGGTATCTGATTTCATAGTAAATAGTGTACAATTTTTTCTAAAACGAGAACAATAAGAAGAGAGACTCCAAATTTTTAGTGTGGAGTAGTGTTCACTCCTTTCCTCCAAAGTTTAATAGTTTTCTCACTCCTAAATGTTGACTTCAAGTGTTACCACCTGTATTGTATTATTTTCCTGTGGCGAAACATTCATGGACTTACCCAGCGTCTGGGAATAAGCCTTAGCATGCAGAATATATTATTGATTAGAGAAGATACAGCTACTGATTATCATCTGGATTTGCAAGCAACAGATACCAGGCAAATAAAATACTTTCCAAACAGCACATGTATCAAGAGCCTTATATGTGTTTGTATATTTAAACACTCAATTTTCATTTTCTAAAATCATTTCTCAAGGTAATGTTCCTAAAATGTAAATATATCTTCATGCAAAAAAAACACAAACCTTTGGCAATGCTGGAATCCTCCCAAATGATGATTTTTTTTCCAGCATTGCAAAAGAGTAGCATATCCATTCAATGTGGTATTTTAAAGCTATTAAAATAATGATTTTGAAAATGATTTAAACAATGACATTTTTAATAAGTTTTGAAATAGAATAGAAAATTGTAGAGCACTGCAGTTAGAATTATTTTTTTCTCCCCTCCTCCTAGAATTATTAAAAATATGTATATTCATGGCATAGATAGAAAGTGAACATGAGAGAAATGAAATAGTGAATGTTAGGCTGGCAAAACTATATGTGAATATTTTAATTATTTCTGATATTTAGTTATGTTGCATTTCACTTATTTTGTTTGTCTTGTTTTTACCCAGCTTTACTTTGCATAGCAGTTAAGTTATGGATTCTGAAGCCAGGTAATTTGGTTGGGTTCAGATTCCAACTTGATTACTCACCGGTTGTATTGCCTTGGAAAATAAAAATCTTTGCCTCGTTTTCATCTGTAAAATGGGTATGAAAATAGTCTTTGAACACTATTTTCATAGGATTGTTATACAAATTAAATGATGCCATCCCTACTAGAATATTTAAAAGTGTGTTTCAACTATATTAAAGGTTTTCTATTGTTATTTTCATGTATTCTAATATTAATGTGATATTTTGTAAAAATATGTTTGCATTTACCAGTGCCTAAATCTTAACCTCTATCCATATGCTCTGCAACTGAAAGATGTTACGGGAATTAAACTTTAAAAGATGAATTGGTAAGTACAAGGTGGCCTTTAAGGAGAAGGGAAATGAAGGTGTGGTGACTAGTTAATAACATAGTGTCATACTGGAAAGAGGTCATATTGGAATAGTCACTCATCCCATCTGTCTGAGAACAGAAGCACCCATCTATTATCATTTGGCCATTTTGTTCCCTGTCATACTTTAATTATGATGTCCATATATCATATCACAATGTTCTTATAGTGAGATATTTGTGGTGCTTTATGTGTCTTTTGATGGAAAGAGATATCAATTCTTAATTTAGAGATTTCATTATTGCAAAGTTCGCCTCTTAACTGTCACTGGAAGTGTTGGTATTCATTACAGTTATATGAAAGTCATAGAAATTTCAAATCACTCTGCTTATCTTTTACAACACTTCCCTCAACTCATGCTACTCAGCCACCCATGCCACTGCCTTGTTTGTGGACAAACTCAGCTTCTTCCTTCACAGAACTTTACCCTTCCTGTCCTCTACTTACTACTTGCCAGAGGGCCAGGTCCTCCTTTCATTGAGATCTGCTTAAATGCCAACATATTAGAAAGGATTCCTGTAACTACACATATTAAAATAGTATCACCAGGCCATCACTCCATATTGCCTAATTAGTTAATTTTTCAACATATTTTTATGTAAATATATATTTAATTATCATTATATCTATTTTATTGTGTATTTTGTTTCTCTTTTCTAGAATACAATTCTACTGGAGCATTAACTTTGTCTGTTTGTTCATTCTTATATTACCTGCCCCTAGAATATAAAATAGTTAGTCAATATATGTTTAAATGGCTGAATGAATATGGCAAATTCCATTTAAAATCAAGGTGAAATTTCTATGCAAATGATCTTGAAACTATGTAATTCATAACTAGGTAAACTGGCACTTTAATATGTTGCAGTAGCATTAGTAGCACTTTCAAATATTTACAGTCTATTCCCAAGAGAAAATTGAGTAAATCAGTAAATTATAGAGCAACTGAAGAGGGGCAACAAAACCATTAAAATAAAAATCGTTGTGAAGGCTGAAGAATATCTTTTTCCTATTTTAAAGAGAATGAGTAAATTTAAAAATATAAAGGAATTGACATTTTATTTGATCTAAATCTTAATTTAAATACTTTTGTGAATATTTTATGACCAGAGATATGTTTCCTGAGTTGAAAGACAAAATGATTATAATTTGCTTTATGCCATAACAATAGAATTTCTCATTTTGTGTTTCAGTTAAATTGTGTGCACTGTGCAAATAAACTGAAAAATGTGAATGCCAAAATGGCTATTCCTAAATATTCATATTTTATTGTCTTTGTTTTGTGTAAAAAAATGTAAAATTTCTCTCTGAGAGAATGTATCATAGATATCAAAGCTTTTGGGACCACACTCTTATATTAAAGAGGCCACTTGAATTTTCATAAGAAATGTTAATAATTGTGTCATAACCAGAGAATCTCAAGTATACATATACAATAATAAACATTATTCCACTGATTCACAACATTCTCAACTCAAAATAAAGCTTTTGTTCTTAATATTCCCTTTTTGCCCTATTTCCTACAGAGAATTCCTGTTTCAATCACTAAACCATTCTGCAGTGCTTATAATTTTAAATAATTAGGTGACTTTTAATGATGAAAGAAAATAAAATTCACCTCAAATCAATAAATCCTCAGAAACACGTTGGAGACCCTGTTAGGAGAGATGACACATGTAATGATTTCTATAAAGACAAGATATTGAAGCTTGACGAGATTGACTTTGGAGCCAGACTATCCAGATTCAAATCTTGGCTCTACAATTCACTGTGTGTGTGTAATACTTGGCAAGTTACTTAATTTCCTGTGTCTGAATTTCTTTATAAATAAGATGGAGATTAATAATAATGCTTAGACATTAAGGTTGTTTTAAGAATTAACTGAAAGAATATCTGGCCCATTATAAGCATAATTTTAAATTATTTTGTAGTGGCTATTATTCCCATGGGATTTGCCAGTTATATTTGGAAAACTGTATTGTTTTGATTATTTATGTTAGTCAATTCATTTGAAATATATCTATTTAATGATAATAAATTCATTAAAATAAATATCTTACATAAGCATAAGTACACTTTTAAAGACCATCAGTGTGGGAATCAAGAGTTATCCCTACCCTGCTGGTGATTTATATTAATAGTTCATATTTGTTAGTAGCTTTTTCCCCTTTTATTTTGCATCTACGTGTGTCTTTCAAATTGGTTTTACATTGTTGTCAATTTTTCTTTGAATGTGAGGAGCAAAAGTTAATGTTGTAACATGACTTTGCTATCAATACCCTGCTGTATTATATTTATTTTAATATCTTTGGTACTGTGAGAAAATCTGATGTATAATCAACAATTGCCATAAATATTTTAAGATGAATTTTTCCTAGAGCACTTCTTTTTGCTTCACTTATTATAATCCCATTGCTTATTATAATTCCATTGGCTAAGGTATGCCTTCACTCCTTGCTCTTGGTAACACAAGTCCTATAAATATTTAGCATTCTAATGCATGCAGGCCTAAATTTATAAGCCGAAGACTCTTCAAATCACTACAGTTTGTAAGAAGTTTTAGCAATATTGCTGGAAATGATATTGATATATAACATTTAATTAAGTTGCTATATAATAAAAATAAACATTGTGAATAATAAAAAAAAATATTTAGCATTCTGGCTTTTAGCAGGAAGGTTAGGTGACTCAGCTCTATTAAAACATTACTTAGCACTTGCTCTCCTTAGGCTTTTTTCCTAGGATTCTTCTAAAATATTTTTAATAATGAAAAATAAAAGCAAAACATTTGAAGGCAAAACTAGAAAAAGCTGAAGTTAATCATTCTATAAATAGCTTGCACATCTTATTTTTATTTTTCAGGTTTCTTTCTCTATTAAAATATTTGTACCCAGAGGGTTAAGCTGTATACTTACCATGATAGCACATTCATGGAGCTTGATATTTACTCTCACAAGCCTGAAGAAAAGGAAATATACTAAAGATGAAGTAAAAATAATTTAAGCATGATAATACTAAGACCTTAAATGTTATAATAATGTAAATACTTACATTTGACTCTGCAGAGATTGTTCAATATGATTAGATTATATAGTTTAGCGTTAGACCTATAGGAATTTCTCATATGAAAAAAAAACCTCACTAATAATAATAATTTTTTTGTATCAATCAGAATTCTTAAATATAAGCAATAAAAATTAAACCTGGCTATAGTGAACACAAAAGAGTATATTAAAAGAGCATTGGTAGCAAATAGAATCATTGAAGAGCCTACAGGATGAGGCTCAGAAGACATAAAGACAGAATCACATCCGATATCAAGACACAAACAAGTACAGTCTGCTGTTAAAGGCTGAAGAGTAAATGCTACAACTTGTACCCTTGCCCTAACCTTTCTGATTTATTCCTTGGAGCCTGCCACTGTCACTGATGCAGGCTGCTGATGTCACTAGCATGCTAAGGCAGGCACTGCTGCCTGTAGAAACTAAGTGATATTATCACTGTTAAAGCTACTTCCAGAAATGACTTTACTTAGCAACTTCCTTCATGTTCAGGGCAGCTGTATGTGTTTGGCTGATTCTAGGACAAATGTCTATGCCCTAGCAGCAAGTTACACCAAGAAAATAAGCATTTGGTATGTTCTGCTTCTTGGCACTATTTTCTCCTAAATCAGTAAGAGACATGGCTGCCAATCTAAAAGATGCCACCTACTCTGTCCACTTATCTATCCTTTTTGTAGTATCTTCCTCTTAAATCTGGTTGGCCCTGTAACCAATTCTTTTTTTTTTTTTTTTTGTAATTGTACTGATAGGCCTTAATATTTATTGAAATCTCATAAATTTTTAAAATAAATCAATGGAAAACAATTAGGAAGACCCCACAAGATTCATTTTAAAAAGTAATTTTCAATAATTAAAATCTGACATAGTGCCTGTTAAAAATATTCTTGACCAATAGGATGTGTTGGAGGTGAGGTCAAAAATTCCTTGTCTTTCACTTGGGTCTTTTGGGATATTCACTCTTGAGTTGCTCACTTAAAACCTAGCCACCACATAGTGATGAACATGGGATGCCATGTGTGGACACTCTGGTTGACAGCCTCAGTTGAACTTCTGAGGGAGCCATTTTAGATACACTGCCCAGTCAGACTTTAAGACTTTGTAGTCCCAGCAGACATAAGACTGCAACACCTTCAGGGATTATCAGCAAGAACTAATTAACTGAACCCAGAAAGCCCACAGAATTCAGAAAACATGAGAGATCATAATAAATTGTTGAAGTCATTACATTTTGAGATTGTTTGTTATGTGTTTCCTTAGACATAAGGAAAAGAAGATAATTCTGCAAATGTAAGAGAAAGAGAGAGAGGAAAGGAGGAAGAAAGAGAAGAAGGAGGAGAAAAAGGAGGAAGAGGAGGAGGAGAGAGAAAAAGGAGGAAGAGGAGGAGGAGAAAGAAGAGAAATAATGATAAATGATTAATACAAATTTACAAATTCTACTTGGTCTCAGTTTCATTTGCCCATCAGATTTAAACACACTATATTAACGAATTTTTAAAACACTAACATTTCTTGAGTGACAAGACTCTACTGGATGCCCTCTATTAGAACTCTTTCTTTTTCTTAACTGTTCATAAACCATCACAAGTTTTTGAAGTATACAACTATATTTTATGAGATAAACAAATAGGCTCAGAGAGGTTACATAATTTTCCTCAGATGATACAGCTGATGGTTGCTAAAAACAAGTTATGAACTCAAGTCTTTCTGAATCCAAAGGCAAATTTTAACTTCACCAGATGGCAAAATTTGCCATATCTTCTGTTACTTGATACCTTGAAATTGGTTCAGTAAAGTTTGCTCACTTATTCCAAATAAAAATATGCAGCACACATCAGTTCAGAATTGTTTAGAATTGCCATATGATTTTGAGAAGACAACAGCAACACCTGGAAATCTATTATATGTTAGCAACTATGTATCCAGTTTCATGAACAAGGCTACCCTTGAAGTTCTCTACACTATATTTACTTTGAAATATGCTTGATTCCTTGGTGCTTTTATCAATATATGCCTTCAGTCCGTTGTGAAGACATGCAAACCACCCACTGATCCACAGGCTGTGCCCACTGACTTAAGGATTTAAATACAAACATAACATTGAATTGTGGTGTAAGGGAAGACAGGGCAAGATTATTCACGGTCACTATTTATTTATAAAAAAAGATAATTATTTGGTATTTTTAACTTGCATGTAAAATTGAATGATTACGGGGTCATACAGTGAGATTCTTACTAAAATAAATTAGTACATTTATAATGAATCTTTGTTTTGACATTGCTCCTATCAGATGTTATAACAGGATAGTTATAAGAATGAATATGTACAAGCACATTATTTGCTAATGGGATGCCAAGCTACAGTTGAAACAGGCATCTATCACCATGCATTATAGCTAAATATCAATTAAATAAACCCTGACATATTTTCTGATTTGTCTTCTTGAATTACTCCGTTTGTCTTAAACTATAGGAGTCAGAAACAGTGCTAAAACAAGAATTTTGAAAGTATTAGTATTTATAAAATTTGTATGGATAGTTAATAAAAACACCTTATAGTCAAAAGGAATGAAAAATTATATAAATTTGTTGAGCTTGCTTAACATTTACTTTTTTATGAAATGTGCATTTTTAAGTTACAAAAGTGGATAATTTTTCAGAAAGAAAGAGTACATCTTCAATTTTAACTCATAAGGAATTTATTATGACTACCAGTTAAAATAAAAGTATTAATTAATGAAGTTGAACACAATTGATTCATTATTCTGAACAGCTTTGATATCGGCACACAAAGGTATTCTTCAGTTTCCCCACACTTCCAAACAACATTTGGTATCCCACTTCTCTGTCTAGTTATTGCTTTACTTCATTTTTATTAGCACTGCCTTCTTGAAACACTTTCTTCTGTTAGAATACCACTGTCTTTTTTATTCTCTTCTTTCCTACTGATTGCTGCACCGGAGTTTCTTTCGATATTTTCTTCCCATCTCCCAGCCTTCTAAAATTAAGAGTGCTCTAAGAAAAGATGCTAAAAAAATGAGTGCTGGCTCCCTGCTCTGAGACAGACTCTAAAACTCACCTGCTACTACCTCTTAAGCTCATAGAGACTGACCAGCACTATGCCTGGCCTTTCTTCATGCACAGTACTCCACAGAGAAGCCAACTTCTCCTCATGAAACAAAATAACAAGACATGTGCAGAGTACCTCTATTATAAAAGAAAAAATATGCTGTATTACAAATGGTATTGGTAGCAGAAATGGCAATATACAAAGGTCTAGTATTTTTCTATTAACCTAATAATCATACTAAGTTATATAAAAATATATTATCATGAAAACATTAAAAACAGTAAGAATATTAGACATGGAAAAATGGGAGACTTAAAACATAGACTTCAATGCATGGAATAGATACAGCTGAGGGACGAGTTGGAAAATAGTAAAGTCAGAACCAGAAATCTCATAGAATAAAGAAGACATCTGTATTTGTCCATTTGTGTGGCTGTAAAAGAATACCTGAGGCTAGGTAATTTATAAAGAAAATAAGTTTATTTGGCTCATGATTTTTTGATGTCTGGAAAAGTTCAAAATTGCATCTGGTGAGAGCTGCAGGCTGCTTCCACCTACACAGTGGAAGGTAAAAGGGAGCAGGTGTATGCAGAGATCACATGTGAGAGGGAGGAAGAAGCAGGGGGAGGTGCCAGGCTCTTTCTAACAACCAGCTTTTGTGGGAACTAATAGAGACAGAGAATTTACTCATTACAGTGAGATTACCCCCCATGATCCAAACATCTCCCACTAGGCCTCACCTCCCAACACTGCCACATTGGGGATTCAATTTCAACATGAGATTTGGAGAGCTCAAACAAACCATAGTGAAGGAGCTCAGGAAACTTCACCCCAAAATATGATTCCTCTGTATAAAGAGTATTTTGAATTGCAGGCCCCTCAAAATCAACAAAACACTTGAAGAAGATTTTCATCTATCTGCCTAAATTGGACTCCTCGTCCAAAGATCATAAACTAGGTCTGGAATCAGACTGGATATGATCATTAATTAGCATAGATCCAATTAGAGGCCTCAAATGTCTGATTGGGTCAGGAAAACCTAACAGTAAATGGGAATACTACAGGAGATGTGAAACCCAGCTTTCAGGAATTCACGGAGATTTCTGTGTTCTATCCCTTTGTTCCTTTTCTTTGTGTGTTTGAGTAAGGAAAAATAATTGCCTAAGTTGATCATAGATATCAGAAATCCTAAATCAAGATTTAAGGTGAAAATATGATCCTTTATTTCTGAAGAACTAAGCACTGTACTTTCTGGCTATGCCTACCTATACATACATGAGGATTAAGCCCTGAAAGCAGCAAATACAGAAATGGCAGCATCTTACTAAAAACAAAATTGTTGCCTAGCTAGTAATTGCTTAAACAGTAAGATAGGTAATTAAAAGAGTGATGGTCTAAATACAAAAGTAGTAACATTTAAGAGCCGGCAAATAAAAATTCTTTTTTTCCCCCTGAGTGACATATATTGATCACATGTTGCGTACCAAGGCCTGCGTGTTTCGCACGAGTTCTCTCCATCACCCCAGGACACAGGCACCGTTACTCCCACTCACAGATGAGGAGACCACCGGGGGCAGCCTGCCCAGTGCTGGAGCATGTGACCACCACGCTACATCAACTCCGCGGTGCAACGGATACAAGACTGCCACCAGATGGCTCAAGGCCTGGTTTTGTCACCAACCCACTATTCCTTGACCTCTGTAGGATCAAGTCTAGTGACCTATGTGCAAGGGGCAGGCGAGTCACCCTCCAGTTTGGAAAGTCTGCAGCCCTGGAGCTTTCAAGGCTTGGGTTGGAGCTGAGGGTGGGCTCCAGCCGGGCAAATCCACCAAGCACCTGGACACTTGCCCTCTGCCTGGAGGACACGCCACCCACCTGGCCTGGCAACCTCCTGGCCCTGACCAGGTCTGGGGGGCCTGGGGAACTGATGGCCACCACACTGCCACAGAACTGTGCGCCCACACGCTCCATACCCGCCTGCCGCCTCAGTCACGCTAACTTGTTTGTACACTCGCACGACCTTCCGCTCAGGGCACCTCCCGTTCGCATTCTCACTCGCTCTCGTGCACACTTACTGGCACCCCTTCCCTGTCTCATTCACCTGCCTCCACGCACTCTCTCGCACACTCCCGACTCCACACTCCCACCACACTGGCCCACACGGGTCTCGCCCACGCTGCCTTCACACACGTGCTGTCTCACACTCCCTTTCCCGCACACTCACTCGGACACCCTCACCCTCTCACACCCTCACCCTCCAATACACCCGCCCTCTCGCGTATGCTCTCATACCCGCACACTCCCACCCTCTCGCCCACACTCGCCCTCACGTCTCTCTCACACACCCTCACGTGCATCTGCCTTCTCACACTCTCATCCTCACGCACCTTCACACTCACCCTCACACGCTCACACTCGCCCTCACACTCTCACAGTAGCCCTCACACGCTCACACTCGCCCTCACACGCTCACACTTGCCCTCACATGCTCGCTCACACACTCACTCACACACACTCACGCTCAAACTCACACTCACACGCTCACACTTGCCCTCCCACACATGCTCACACTTGCCCTCACACACACGCTCACACTCACGCTTGCCCTCACACACACCCACATGCTCACACTTGCCCTCACACGATCATACTCACACTCACATGCTCACACCCACCCTCACGTACACTCACACTCGCTCGCTCACGCTCGCTCACACTCGCTCGCTCACACTCGCTCGCTCACACTCGCTCGCTCACACTCGCTCGCTCACACTCGCTCGCTCACACTCGCTCTCGCGCATCCCTCCTGTTCCTACACGCTCCCGCCCAGCGTCGCTAGCGCCTCCCACCACGCCCATTCCGTCCAGGGCGGAGCCTCACCACATGGCGTGCCCCCTTTGCGGAGGAGAAACTGAGGCCATACAAGAAGGAGGAGTAGGCGGCAGACACTGCTGGGCTCACCTTCACGTCAGGGAGGCCAGCCACACCACCCTAGCGCTGCCGGAAGCCGCTCCAGCGCACGGGAAGTCCCGCCCACAAGCCCCGCCTGCTGGGCCCACCGCGCCAAGAAAAAATTCTTTATGGGAACTATTATAACTACTTCTCTCTGGATGTCTGTATTTTTGTGTGTGTATATATGTCATTTGTATATGATGTTTCACCACCAGAATATATAAAAGAGCTCTAATTAATTATCTTTAAACAATAATAAGCTCTTAAATATTTTGTCAAGAAGATAGAAACTAACTCAAATGGTTTTTAGTTCATATGACTTTAAGAGTCCAGTAATCGGCCACTGCTCAACTCTCTTTTTGATTCTGTTGCATTCTGATTCACAATTTCTCTTTACATTCCCCTTCAGAAGGAGATAGTTAACATGGACCTGAATACCTTAGAGATACCGTGAGTCTCCTTCAGTATTCTCTCAAATTCTCTAAGCTGATTTAGACTCTAACCTTTACCCAGAGATCCACTCTTATTTAGTACTTGTTTAGTGTCTTGAGGATCTTTTACTCTGTAAGCAGGTTGCTCTCTTAGACTTATTCTTTTAACCACTTCGGTACGCGGCCGTTGAGCGCCATACGGAAGTGACTTTAAATCACCTTAGCTGAATGGGGCCATAAAGCCTCTAAGTCTGGATTCTAGGGGTACAGATATTACTTAGGACACTCAAAAGCTTACTGCAAAATACCTTGAGTCAAATATGTTATAGCACTCACTAGAGTTTACACATAGCAAAAGGAAAAACTGCCATTATTTACACAGACTCCAAATATGCCTTTGGAGACTGCCAAGAAGTTGACGCGATTTGGAAATCTTGTTTCTTAATTTCTGCTGACACTCCTATTACCAGTGGACCTATAATTGCTGCTCTATTAAAAAGCTTCCTTACCTTCCGTCTAAGATGGCTATTGTTCATTGCCCAGTTCACACTAAGGAAACAGATACTGTATCCCTAGGAAATGGTAGAGCTGACAGGATTGCTAAATACGCAGCCAAAAATGGGCCCCGCTATCCTTTTTCCACTCAATTTATTACCCTGCCTTTATCCCTGTCTGATATTATTGATCATCAGGCAATTGCCCCAAAGTCAAAAAGGATAGGTGGTGATAAACAATTGTCAAATGATTGTATATTGGGCCAAACGGACTCCCTGTGGCCCCTTTTTCTTTTAACTCTTTGGCGTGGGCTTATCTCCCATCAGATGGGATATATGTACAAATAGGGGATACCTAAAGGACTATTAAAAATAGTTGGTATTACCCTGGGATGTACAAAATCTCTAACCAAATTATTTCCTAGTGCACTATTTGTAAATGTCACCAAATCTCTGGAGGAAACCAACACTCTCCAGGAAGCCCCCCAGACCCACATTGCCTCTTGTGGCACTCCAAATTGATTTAATAGATTTCCTTTAGCTTTAGATTTTTCTCACTGTTTGGTTATTGTTCGCATGTTTAGTGGATGAACTGAATGCTATTGAACGAACCAGCTGATGCTACAACAGTAATAAAGAAATTAGAACTGAGATTATTCCTTGCTTTGGTATTCCTTTATGGATTGAATCGAGCAAGGGACTCATTTTATAGGAGAAATAAACCACTTGTTTGCAAAGGCTATGAGGTACTCATTAAAATATCATACCCCATATCATCCCCAATCTTCAGAGCAAGTGGAACATAAAATCTAGACATAAAAAGGACTTTGAGAAAAGTCTGTCAAGACACCGGACTAAAATGGCCAGAAGTGTTACCTTTGGCCCTTGTAAAAATCCAGAATGCTCCAATTAGGAGACAGGGCTTAACCCCTTTTGAAACAGTGTTCTGTCACTCTATGCCTACTGACACCTATAAACCTTCTATTCCTGGGCCAATTGAACACGATGGGGATTTAAGTGAACAATTTAATACCAGGTCTAGCTACATACAGACACTAATATACTTGGAGCATAACATCAACAGGTGAAAGGAGCATGGCATCTGCCAACTGACAGGACTTGTCATCCTATTTGACAAAGGGATTGTGTGTTCGTCAAAGTTTTAGAAGAATACACGCACCGTCACCTTGCTAGGAAGGCCTTTTTAAAGTACTGTTAACTACCTATGCTGCTATAGAAAATAAAATAAAATAAAATAAAATAAAATAAAATAAAATAAAATAAAATAAAATAAATCCTCCTGGATTCACATGAGCCATGCCAAACTACACCGAGACAATTGGAGGATGACCATTATAGGTGACCTAAAAGTAAGGATTTCCAGAGCCATTTCCTAGGCCCCTGAGGCAGACGTCTTCATAAAGTAGACAGCTTTTTCCAAGATCACAGATCAAGAAACCCCATTTTTGTCTATAAATTTCTTTTTGTCTTTTAACCCCCCCAAATGGTCCTTTTTAAAACCCTCTTCTTTTATGCCTCCCCTTTTGAGGATTGTACATTGGAAGCTGAATAGAGTTTCCCTCAACCTATTCTCTTCTCCCTTTTATCTTCCACTATGACTCTTCTTTGAAATTATGCCTTGTTCTTACTAACCCTTACTGATTTTATAGCAGGTCAGGCACAGACCTGGCATTCCTTTGTACCAGTTTTTCAAATCCTGGCCACATAGATTAATCAATCTAATTGCTGGTCATGCCAATGTCCAGACCATGCAAAGGAACCTGAACTTATTTTTTTTTTTTCCAGCCAATGTGACTAACTGGTGGAACCAGTCCAGAAGATAGATCTATGACAAGATGTGGCATACATACAACCAGAGAAGACACATTATGCTGCTTCTGCTGTGGGTGAGTCAACTGGACACAAAAAAACCTCTGGAAGCTCAAGAACTATCTTTTGCTTAAGGACTATCTTTTGCTCAAGAACTATCTTCTGCTCGGGTCAAATCATTAGAAAGGACTTTTTCCCTCTGCATTGAAACAGGGATGATGCTGGATCTTTCCAGGGTGACATACTAGGGCAATATTGTGATCAGACTGTGAAATCAGTTTGATTTCACAGATGGCATTCTTGCTCCTCTTAGATGGTGCTGACACTAACCCTTATGATGTCAATGACTGTCAAATCGCCAGATGTTATGAAGTCAAGCCTGTGAAACTTGGGGTGATTCACTCACTACCCTTGTGCCAGACACTAAAGATTACATACGGACAGATCAAAAGTCTGCACTAACTTAGTTAGGTGACAAAACTAAGCCTTATAACTCCAGAACTGGACCAAAGGCCTTTAATATCAAATATTTTGTAACCTGTTTTGTTCCCATAGATTGACAGGGACACATGGACAATGGAGATATGGAAGTGCCAATGAGGAAGAAGAGGCACAACAAACTCCAAACTTGGAGGTCACAGGTTCCAACCTGACCCTATCTGTGAATTACACTGGTATTTTTTTAAATTTCATAGTATTATGGGAGTACAAATGCTTTAGTTACATGTATTGCTTTTTTATTTTGTGTAGTGATAAAGTACACAAGTGATTCCCAGATGGATGATCAGGATGCTGTGGAGTTCATTATCTGACACTCTTTGTTACTACGTACTTCACTTTAAATACCAACCAAATTACAAAGTTGGGCTCTTTACTAGACATGATAGTTAAAAAACAAACAAACGAAACAAAACAAAAAAACTTGTACATCATAATTCTAACTTTACTTATTTTTTTCTCATTCTAATCTATGTGTTTTCTGCCCTTTTCAGATCTCTTGTTATTAGACTACTAACCTAATCTCTTTCCAAAGCTGCTGATTCAGCTTTTAATGTGTGAAACTTCTAGGGAAGTTCCAGACAGGGAGAATGAAGGAGGTCAGTAAATTTCACCCCAAAATATAACTCCTTGGCATAAAGAATATTTTGAATTGCAGGCCCCTCAATATCAACAAAACACTGGAAGGGGATTTCCTTCTATCTTCATAAACTGGACTGACCCCATGAACAGATCAAAGAGCATTTGACTTCCATTCCTCTCCCAGTTATTTCAATATATTGCAGAATGCAACCAGAGCTGGCCTAAATTGTTTAAAACATAATAACTGTCTCTCAGGTATATTTATAAGTCAATCTATTTCCCCCATACTTTCATTCTCCCAAGTATCTATTAATCCTCTCTAGCAACCATATATTGCCCCTTAATGGAATTACCTATACTTCTCATTTTCCTCCCAATCCTCTAAAAGGCATATATACGAATATCTGGATCCCATTGAGATATTGGGTAATCACTCTCTAATTCTTCCTATGAACATAGTAAATAAACCTGTTTCTTATTAATGTGCCTTAATTATGAGTTGATCTTTCAACTAACTTTCATGGGAAAGGGCAAGTTTCTCCTCATCCCTATGATAATAATATCCCCAAGATAAGAAAACATGACAGAAATAAAGAATAAAAGTAGAAATCTAATTTTCAGGTAATAGAAGTCCCAGAAAGATTGGAAGATAAAAATGAAGAGGAAAAAATGTTTGAAAAAACAATGGAGATAAATGTATTAAAATTAGAATAAAAGATTTTATGATATTGAAAGGGCTTATGCATGACATAAAAGAAATACCCCAGTTCTAGATATGATGACATTTAAGATATCAAGACAAAGAAAAAATATAAGCAAAAAGTGATCACAGAGAAAAAGAGCAAGGTAAAAGAAATAGACAATAAATTTGGAAAACTGAATGAAAGAAGATTGTCACATTCCTGTCTATGGCTGGACTTTAAAGTGTTTCCCCAGTTCTTGGGTTCCTGGCTTGGAGGAATTGCAAGCCTTGGTCCATACGACAGAGGGAGATCCAGACACTCAGCAAGTATGCATGAAGAATTTATTGCAAGGAAAGTTTAAGGATGCAAAACTATAGTACATTTCCTAAGGGGAAATGGATTTGTCTCTGTGAGTGGAGAAGACCCTGTTTACTTCTGTGTTTCTCCTTTTATATGCTAGTAGTATATGCAGATGCAAAGGTCAGTCACTTATGACTATATGTCACGGGTTTTGGGGTCTAGCTTTTTCCAAGTATGGACATAACTT